GGATCGAACCTCTGGCCCCTGTGCCTGCTTGCAGGAGCTTTAATCCACTGAGCTATTTGGCTGGTCCTAAATCATTATATTTTAATTAGTATATTTTAATTTTTATTTTCTTCATTATGTGTCTGTATTTTCCAGGTTTTAATAATAAACATGTATTCTTCATACAATGAATGGAAGAAATTTTTTTTTAAACTAAGCCAATGAACCAGGTTGTTTGTTTTCTCTAGTCAGGAAATTTGAACCCTATAAAATTCCCAAAAGTATTCTAACAATTTTACATGTTCTCTAGATTTGGATGGATCTGGAAAGTTCAAAATTGTGGTGGAGAATCGTACTCAAATACAGGAAGATCTGTAATCTTTAATTTCTCTATTCTATAAATGATCTTCTAATATGCTTTCTTATTCCTTCTAATCTCATGAACTTGTCTTACTAAAGTAGACACAAGTTCTGGATCATATTCATTCATTTACTAGGGATACAGACAGATTAATGGAGGATAGAAGAAATAAAGACTAAGAACAACCGAAGTGTTTCTTAAGTAGTACCAAGTACTTTGAGGGATAAAGTAAAACTCAAACCTCTTTTTCTTTTTATCTAATAAAATATTAACATTTCTCTATATTTAGTCACTCTAAAAATCAGGCAAGCTTATGTTGGAATCCATGCGCAAATGAAAAAACAATTATACATAAGACCCATATTGCCAGAGAATTTGAGTTACATTAATCATTTGCTAGCCTGGCAACTGTGCTGTCAGAGAAACATCTAGAACTTAAGCTATTAAATACTTAGAAGAATGAGCTAAAACTTTACCTTTAGACTCCAAATGTTCTCCTGGTGTTTAGCTGCAAATGGCTGCATCAGGATGAGTGGATTTTCTTCACAGTAGAATTCCCTCAGCTTCAGATCCTGAAACTTTTAAAACAAAATAATAACTTCTTTGTACAACAAAATGACAGATTTAACCTCTAAAAGTATATCTTCAATACAATTAGAATAAAATTACTTCGCTTGAGACTTAATATTCTTCATTAATATTTTAAGAGTGGAACACACTCTAGTCTTGGTAAACATAAGGATATAATACTGGAATAAAGGTGCATGATTCTAAAAGTCACATCTTCAGCACTACACAGCTCACAAAACTGATTTGGGTAACAAAATTGGTAACAGAATAAGGTTTACTAAATAAACTGATGTGAACATTCTGTTTTATTTTTATTAGAAAACCCTAGCACAATGAAAAATACTCTAAAGCATACCCCAAATTTCAAAGATTATTATCAAAGAGAAAAGTAAGAGAAATAGGAATATTAAGGGCTTTCATTATAATTATATAAAATAAAAATGAAAGGATAAAGAAGCTGGGCATAAAGGAAGAGAAGACGAGAAGATAAGAAGAGAATGTACAGCACATGATAGCCTTCTATGAAGAAAATCTAAGCCCCCATAGAGCCTATCACTTCAGTAGAAAACTACGGTATTTCTTTATAATAATATTATGCTTTGTTTCCATGAACCTATTTGGCTTTTAAATTTAAACTAATTTAAAGGGCTATTTCTCTGAGCCTAATATCTGTTATAAAATAAAACCTATCTTCAGTAGTACAGTGGTAAAGCAGTATCCTGGAAGAAAAAGAAAAAAAGGGAGGAAAGGAGAGGAGAAGAGGAGGGCAGAACAGAAAGGGAAGGAAAGAAATGAGAGAAGGAGGGGCCTGCCCTGATGGGGAGCATACATTGATTGCTAGGACAAGTTCATTCAATTTACTAAGCACAGAGATGCAAGGACATTTGCATAATCAACTCTTGTTGATCAGCTCTATCACACCACATCTCACAAAATGTATTTTAATTAGAGATTTCTGGAGTTTCAATCCAAGATGTGAAAGCTAGCAAGCACATAACAAGTTAAAAATAATAGATTTAGAATATCTTTCTAGCTGATCATGCCATTCAGTTTAAAATGTATAGAAGGGATTGTACAATACAAATGACAGTGCTAAATACATGCAGAGCACATACTGAGTCCTGGCCTCACAAGACATTCTAATTACCTGAAGAGAGTCTTGTACATTGCCATCTCTAGTAGAAAACCTAGAGAGTTGAAACCAATATCATCCATAAGTCTAGTAAACGTGCTAAAATCAGAAGGGGTGGGAGCTTTCCTGGTGCCATTTAAGAACTTTGGTGGACTCTGGGCAGCTTGCAGGACTCTGGTAAGATCTGACCTTCCTTAGCCCTGAGCATGCAAGCACTGAGTGCTGGTCCAAGATTTTAAGAACTTAGGAGGACTCTGAGTGGCCTATGGGATGCAGGAGAGCTGTGATCTGTGGGCCCAGTGCACGCAGGCATGGAAATTCCCTGAAAGCATGTAAGAACTGTGGCGGACTATAGGGCAGCCTCCAGGACTCTGTCTGGGTGATTACTAGAAGCTTCAAAAATTCCAAATGCAAGAGCAAAAGTCAATCTCAATCCTCTAGACCACCGAGAACAAAATCAGGAGACAAAGACATACAAGAACTTGGAAATCACACACTTGAAATCTCTGAGTTGACAGCAACTAAAGTAAAGTCCATTAGGCTAGAGAAGAAATAAGATCAGAAATAATCTCTCAGGTCAAAAAAGTAAGGATTTGTCTTGGTGTAGTGACAAATGCCTGCAATCCTAGAATTAGGGAGGCTGGAAAGAGGAGGATTGCTACAAGTCTGAGCTATGTAGTGAGATCCTGTATCAAATACATTTTAAGAAAGGAAATGATAACAGTTGTGAAAGAATTGCTCAGCACAGCTAAAGAAGAGATAGGCAGAAAAATGGAGGAGAACGAAAAATGATGGAAACATTGAATGAATACAGGAAAGAACTAGAATGCATGAAACAGATTCAAACAGATATCCAAAAAATTAAGAATTCCATTGAAATCTGGAAAAACTGCTTGAATGAGAGTGAAGAGAGATGTTCAGATCTCAAAGATAGTGTTACAGCTAATGAATGTGAAATAAAAGATCTCTTAAAACTAACAAAGTACCGTGAAATAACAATTCAGTAGCAACAAGGTGATGCAAAGAAAAAAAAATATAAGAATAATAGTTGTCAATGAAGTAGTGGGAGACAGTACAAATGACATAAAAAGACTATTTGCAGAAGTACTAGCAGATACTTTTTCAAAAACAAGAAAGAATCTGATGTATCAATAAGTGAGGCATATAGAACTCCACAAGCCATAATCACAACAAATCTATACTTAGACACACAATGATCAAGATCTCAGAAATTCAGCAAAATAATAGAATATTAAAAGCTGCTAGTGAGAAGAAACAGAGCACCTACAATGGAAAGCCTGCCAGAATCATGACAGATACTCAACACAAACCAGTAAATCAAGAAGAGCTTGGAGTGTAGTACTTCAGGATCTGAAAGAAAATAACTTCCAACCCAGATTGATGTACCCTGCAAAACTATCTATAAAATTCAATTTTGAAATAAGATCCTTCCATGGCAAAGAAGTTTATGCCAACCAAACCAACCCTACAAAGAGTACTGATAGATACTCTAGAAAGAGACAGAAGTGATCACAGCTTCAAGAACAACAGAAAGGAACCACCAAACAGACCAAGTAATTAAAGAGGGGAAAAGTACAGCACCTATAACAGGAAAATAACATGACAGAGATAAGCCAACACACATCAGTTATAACCTCAATGTAAATAGTCTCAATTCACCAATAAAAAGAAAACAGACTAGCAGAATGGATTAAGAAACAAAATACAACAATATGCTGCATACAAGAAACACATTTAACTCAAAAGGAAACTCACATACTAAAGTAAAATGATGGAAAACAATCCACCATTCCACAAGAAATCAGAAAAAAAAAAGAGGGGGTAGCTATCCTGGTTGCTGATAATATCAACTTCAAACCAAAAAATCATCCAAATAGATAAAAATATCACTACATATTTGTTAAGGGAAAACTGCAAGAGGAAGAGATAACAATTATAAATATATATGCACTTAATGCAGGAGCACTCTCCTACATAAGGCAAAATTTAACAGACATGAAAAATCAAATCAGCAATAATACAATAGTAATGGGGACTTTAACATACCACTGTCACAAAGAGATAGATCAACTAGGCAAAAAAAATCAGCAAACAAATAACAGAACTAAACCAAACTTGTGAAGAAATTGACTTTGTAGACCTTTACAATGTTTTACCCAAGAGCAACAGTCTACACATTCTTCTCAGCTGCACATGGGACATTCTCCAAAATAGACCACATATTAGCACACAGAGTACTCTGAAGTAAATGCAAAGCAACTAAAATTATCTCATGCATATCATCTGATCACAGTGCAATAAAACTGGAAATTATAGACAAAAAAAACTACAAAAAAATGGAAATTAAATAACAACCTCTTAAAAACAGTGAGTCACTGAAGAAATTAAGGGAGAAATTAAAAAATATTTACAATCAAATGAAAATGCTGATATAACTTACTGAACCTGTGGGATGTAATCAAAGCTGTCTTAAGAGGAAAATTTATAGTGATAAATTCATACATTAGGAAAATAGAACAAGCCCAAATAAATGACATTATGCTGCACTTCAAGATCCTAGAAAAAGAAGGGCAAGTCAAGCGCAAAGCCCTGAGAAAGCTGGAAATTATAAAGATAAGAGCAGAAATTAATGCCATGGAGATAAAGAAAACAATACAAAGAGTAAATGAATCAGTTCTTTGAAAGAATAAATAAAATTGATAAACCCCTGGACAAACTGATCAAAAAAAGGAAAGAAAAACCCAAATTTACGCAATAAAGATTGAAAAGGGTGAAGTCACTACACACTCTAGAGAAATACATATCATCAATACCTACTTCCAAAATGTTTACTTTCACAGGATGGAAAACACAAAGGAAATGGATACATGATACAAGAGAATATACAAACTCTGAATAACCCAATAATGAGAAATAAAATTGAAAATTTAATGAAAAAAATACCAACAAAGAAAAGCTGAGGTTCCAAATGATTCACAGCAGAAATTTACAAGAAATTTACAGAAGATTTAATGCCAACTTTTCTCAAACTCTTCAGTGCAATTGAAAGGGAAGCAATTCTCCCAAACTGATTCTTGGAAGCAATTATTGCTCTGATTCCAAAATCAGAGAAAGATTCAACTAAAAAAGGAACTACAGGCCAATCTCTAAGGAATATAGATGCAAAACACCTCAAAAAATACTAGCAAACAAAATGCAACAAATCATCAAGATTATACATCATGACCAAGTGGGACACACTCCAGGAATGCAGGGAAGGTACAACATACACAAATCCATAAACGTAAAACACTAAATGAATAGAACTAAAAACCACAATGACTTGATCATCTCAATAGAGGCAGAAAAAGCTTTTGACAAAGTCCAACACTCATTCATAATAAAACCCTATAGAGAATTGGAATAGATGGTCTATATCTCAACCTGATAAAAGCCATCTATGAAATGGGCAAACATACGAAATGGGCAAAAAGTGAAGGTCATCACTTTAAAATTGTGAACAAGACAATGATGGTCACTGTCTCCACTTCTTCTTCAATATAGTTATGGAAACATTAGCCAGAGCAATTAGACAAGAGAGAAATAAAAGGAATTAAAATTGAAAAAGAAGTGAAATTATTATTTACAAATGATATGATACTCTACATAGAGGACCCCAAAAACCCCACCAAGAGTTTTGTAAATTTAATAACCAATTCAGCAATCATCAGGAAACAAAATCAATAGTGAAAACTCAGTAGCATTTCTGTCCACATAAAAGGGAAACCACATCTTTCACAATAACATCTGAAAAAATGAAACAGTAATCAATCTCACAAAGGACATGAAAGATTTATACACTGAAAATTATGGTAC